GTTTTATCGAGAAATAATAAACTAATTTTAATTAAGAAAGGACTTGTATTGCTGAAGTTTCTTAGAAAGAATTTTTATGGGAAATTATCAAACAAACTAATACGTAACACTATATTTCATCCTGAACACCTTTTGCACAAGATACTGAACAGTGATTTCTATTTATGCAAAGTCGAAGATATGACAAAGATTTTATGAAACTTAACTATTACTTTCTCTACCCACATGTTTGAAAATTATTGGTAATCATTTTAGTCTACAGACTAATAGACACATTGTATTTAAAGTTGGCAGCAGTTTAATGACAGGAATAAAAGATCATTTTCCAGTATATTATTCATGTTGGAATAATCCTAAATTATTATGAATTTTCTAGCACGTATGTGTCAAGCAGATCAAATGGTTTTTTTAAATATTTCATAACTCTATATAAACACATAAAAACTGTAAATTCAAGACTTTTATTTTTAGTATTCTGTAACAAAGGTTGAGGATTTAGATGAGTGGTATTTCATATAAGGCATTTTTGAATTATAACTCATCCACTTTTGAGACATTTAATTATATGTTCTTATAAGTTCTTCCTTTTTCGATTTTTGTATAAAATTTCTTTGATTGTTTTCAATAAAATTATCTAGAGATAAAAATATCTTAACTGAAGAATTTCTCTGTACTGCTACTGCCTCATCACAACTGATTATAAGAACATACTTTCAGCACAGGAGAAAACAAAGTATTAGAATTTTTTATATTGATAAAGAAAGAGTCACTGTCCATTTTTGTTTTTAACAGATCCTGACTACAAATCATCATTTGATTTTACGTCCATGTATGAAGTTTTAAAACAATCTGAAGAATTATACAAATTCCTTAGTTTCTTTAAGAATGGTTTCTCTTTGCTACTACTAAGATGAAATAGAATTGTTTTATAAGTATAATACCTAAAGCATTTAAAAGCATATCTCCAGTTCACAACTGTAACAGTTGTGGATATATATGATACACTGATTATTAATTTGTTTTTCAGTTATCAGTAACCTGTGAAAGGTTTGATTACTGTTTTGTTTAAGCAACTTCATAATTTACACTAAGGATTACTATGTAAACTTTAAAGGAGAATCCACAGTCCTTCCTTAGGTTATTTGCATATTGTATTTACTTGGTTCACATTCATTCGAAATAATAAAAACAAATAGTGTACCTATTGTTTTGGAGTAGCTTTAGTTTAGAAGTGTGTTTGATTTCATTGACGCCCACTGAAACGGGCCAAATCTTTTGTTTGGGCCCTCTTCCACGGAAAATTTAAACCAAGCTTTTAATCGCACCCTGTCCTACCGAGCTCACCGCAGGAAATATATTAGTAATCCTACCATGTAGCTTGTGCCTTGAAGGCATCGTTTTTACTGTAAAAACAGGAAGTTTAAGAAGAGTTACTCCATAAAGAAAGACTAGAAACAAAACAAAGGAGGCCCTATTTTAGTGCTAGAAACGTATATTCCCGGATATATATATATATTATATATGTTCTGTTCAAAGATGGTACTGCACACGTCCAATATCAGTACATTATGATATTATTTCATATATACCATAATGACGTATATTACAGCTATCATGGTAAAGTAAAATAGGTTATGTACTATGCATAAAATTACTTGGGACACTAACGTGGTACATTAACATATAAATTCGCAATGTAAGACTTGATACAGATTTAGTAAATTGGGTACAAATAGTTCTTCTAAAGTGATTAGATAAACAATCGTTATATAATAAGCTTGTCATCACATATCAAAACTAAAAACTTAATGGTAGAGATGTGTATAGCTCATCAATTGAACTTTTGTTAAATGTTATCTGCTATGCACGTTATCCTATGCATCAAAATATTATCTAATATTATTTTGCATTTCTAAGACGGAACCCTCCTTTTCAGAACTTTCAGAAGTTGTGCCTAAAATACTCCGAGATAATCAGAATACATGAGTTGTTTACACTAACATGACCAGGATGGTCACACAGTAGGCTGTTATGTTTTATACATGCGACGCAACGGTGTAGGCCAAGTAGCCAACGTTGTCTGGGCCTCCTGGAATGCCTGGGCCAAGCTCCCCAGCTGCCCCCCCCCCTACACACACTATATGATAGTGATAGTGAATGCTTTGTCTCGAGATTAGTTTCTGAAAAAAAATGTAGTAGTAGTAATTCACAAACTTTGTGTTAAATATATCCACCTGACTACGCAAATACTATTAATAATGTCCATAAAGAAAATTAATAGGCGTAGGGATACGAATCTCTGATACCAAAGGCGTTGTTAACGGACAAGTGACACACGCAAAGCTTACCTAATCTTGTATTGATACGGATTGCTGTTTAATGATATATATGGGAATGAAGGCGCTGAACGGAACCACTGATCTAAATATTGTACAGAGATCAGTGAATGAAACAGGAAGTTTGTGACGTCATGTACAATACCTCTATGCAGCACATCTAATTTTGAATTCTTCTTGTCTTATGTGGCCACGTTTTAGAGGATGAAGGTAAAAGAAAACTGTAGGTTGGCCAGTAAGTGAAATATCTGATGATACAACTTTTTAGTGTGAACAAAGGTTTTTGTTTACTTGTTCACTTGTGTTTGTGTATTGTTTCTTTCCTCTGTTTCTCTGAGTGAATTTTCGGAATCCACGTTTTGCAGATACATCTATTAGCTATCACTCAGTGGACCTGCATACCACAGATTAGATAAAAAGTAACTTGTAAAAAAAAATATAAACTTCAAGTACCTCATGTCTAGCTATGGAAGCGTTATAATACGCTGTCGAATAGTCGAGAATTCATCGTGAACCAAATATATATATATATAGTTGTTAATGATCTCGTTCGTGTAACGCCACGACTCGCATTTGTTGAGATATCTCCCTGAATACTAATCACATGGTTCTATCAACCCTCTATAAATGCGATAAAAATTCAGTACTGCCAGTATAGTTATGGTAGGTGTTACCTATATTTAAATGTAATCACATAAAAACAAAATTGAATGGATACATAAACTATATTAATAGCGTTTAGAGACGACTTGAATGGGTAACGAAGAAGACTTTATAACAAGATTCACACGAAAAAAACTTTACTTAGTTTATTACAACTTAATAACAAACGCACAACGTTTCAATAATGTACCTAATGATGACAAAACTTTGTTGAAACATTGTACATTTGTTACTGTGTTAAACTCGTAATAAATTTCTATTTGTTAACCATTCAAGCCATCTCTAAACTTTCGGTAGTCTCATAGTGAATTCCCTGTAATAAAATATAAATAATAAAAGACCTTTAACATCATAAATGTAAGAAAAGCAACATAAACTACAACTCGAATGTTGACTGAGACTGAGGTAAAGCTACAGGAATATTTATCATAAAACCTGAAAGTTGGGTGTTTAAATCTCTGGTTCTAGGTTCATGCTATTCTGAGAGCAAACAACCCAGTTTTCAATCTTATGTCTGTGCTTCTTGTACGGTATCTTCATTGCAGATCTGATGTTACACTGACCTCAAAGTAAATAATGAAGAAAGTTGATTGTATTAATAATATATAAAAATATATTAAAGTGTTCATTGAGATAACATCATGGTACCTCAAGGTAAAAAAAAATGTGGTTTTAATAATTTCGATCTGAATGGCATCTTATGCGCATGTGGGCTAAACGGCCAGGTCAGACACACACAGAGTTCTTCAGACACAACCGACCCTAATTTTGAGATACTAACCAGAGAGAATGCAGCCAATCAGAAGCACATGCCATCACAAAAGCTTTATCCGACTTTGAATCGGATAATGGGATTGGTCATCCTTCTTTATTATTTACCCATGGCTGGAATTGTGATACATGATCATCGGCATCGCGCGCGTACCTTGGACCTTCTAGTACACAGTCCGGCACAATAACTACTAAGCAACGCCGGCCAATATTTTATTCCATCTTAAAACTGATCCTTAACCAGAAGAAATATCAGATAGTTAATATCATTTTTGTACATGTTCTCACGAAATTATAAATAGCATTTCATATGCTGAATTTGAGATAGATAGATCTCAAGGAAAGGAAAAATATTACCGGAAATTGTAACATTTGCACACAGGCAATATTACTAAACATAAGTATTATTCTGTGTTGATTTGTACAATGTCTCACTTTGTAATACAAAATAATCCAATGCTATTAATTTTATTATACAGGAAGTTCATAAAGACAACTTTTCCTCATAGCAAATTACTAGTAATGCTTGCTTATTTGTTATGGATTTCGCGCAAAGCTACACGAGGACTATCTGCGCTAGCCGTCCCTAATTTAGCAGTGTAAAACTAGAGGGAAAGCAGCTAGTCATCACCACCCACCGCCAACTCTTGGGCTACTCTTGAAACCAACAAAAACAGCTCTGCTTTACTACCGTCACACTGGGCGATAACAACTACATGTATGATACACAACGTTGATGATAAAGTTAGCATCATAACATTTTACAGTGTATGATAATTAAACAATAGAAGAATTAATTAGTAACAATAAGTTACGACTTTTTAAAAATATTTATATCAATAAAGGTTACTTATGAAGGGTAGCCTACATCATATAAACAAGCAACAGAATTTCACAACTGTAAGGGGCCTGGCCTTAATCTTTGTTATGCTTCTCTTGTGGGGTTAGACATGGAAGGTGGAATTCCCCCAAACCGGTCTAACTCCGTGACGAAGGGCAAATCCAAGTACAGACTGCACCATTGATTTTTTTTCTTCCGCCTTGAGAATTTTATTGATAAAAAAATACAACTAAAATAGTTTAGTGGTATTTGGAATTGATGGTAATTGTAACACTGAAAATTTTAGACTTTTACACTCTAATCGTAACCGTCAAAAGAAACGTTCAGTTCTTACATCAGAAAGCAGTACATTAAGAAAATTACCAACATTACTACCAAACACAGTGTTGAAAATTCATGTCAAAAGTAATTCAAACCATTTAGGCTACAGACTGAAAGCTTACTTTAACAATCTTTAAAAAAATATATTTTATTATTTCTTTTTCCATTCAAATTAATTTTGCAACAGTTACCCAATTAATCCAGTATTTCCTTAAATTAAAGGAGCTTGAAAAAGTGAAAACACTCTCGTATTTTGCTTATCATATGAGTTCGATACAACAAAACGTACTGCTCTAAGCAAATTTAAAAAAAAGGAGCAGCATACAAACAATTCCAGCCAGGTGGTTAGGGCGCTCGACTCGCAATCTGAAGGTCGCGGGTTCGAATCCCCATCACACCAAACATGCTCGCCCTTTCAGTCATGGGGGCTTTATAATTTGAAGGTCAATCCCACAATCCCACTATAAAAGAGTAGCCCAAGAGTTGGTGGTGGGTGGTGATGACTAGCTGCCTTCCCTCTAGCCTTACACTGCTAAATTAGGGACAGTTAGCGCAGATAGCCCTCGTGTTGAGCGAAATTCAAAACAAACAATCCCATAGTCATTTTAAATAAGAAAAATACAAAAATTCTAGGTGCTTTGAGTATTCAACCTTTATTAATAGACTCTACGATATTTATGATGCAAAATCGAGCTTCAAATATTTTAAAGCATGTTTGTTCATAATACAGTAAATTATCTGAATGATAAGGCTATAAAAAAGGACTCTGGGCTTGAAAAAAGGCATTTCCCAAGCTCGGCACTTATACACTATTTCACAGATTACAACCTTAATTATGACTATTGGCCATAAACATCCACAACATTAATTACCCATATCTTTAAAGCGATGTCCAACATGCCAATTATAAAGCATTGTTGCGTCAGCGAGTCACATGACTAGTGTGACGCCACGTTTCTAGAACTATCCTGTACTGGCGAATGCTCTAGCATTTACTAGATATAGGGTAGTCTGGTATATAAAAGAGGGTGACAACGTGACGGAACAACAATGTGTGTGTAGATAGTGAGTAATTGAACTGCAGTCACAGGGTATTGTTGAAGTTAACGTACGTTCGTTATAGTGTTTGTTTTAGCGCGAATATTGAAATTAAGTGTATCGTAAAGTTGTATTCGGAAAGAGGAGGAAGAGGTCTCAGAGTACCTGACCCTCCTAGGTCACTAAGACCTAAATTCCGATCAGGAGATCAGGCAGTATTCGGAAAGAATAAACCAGTTTTATTAAGTAAGGACTTGTGTCGCTAAAGTTTCGTCGGAAACGAAGTTATGGAAAGCTAATTAACAAACGGAGACGTAACAGTATTAATACTACCTACAGTAAACAGTGTTTTTTATGATGACACCGATATTCCAAAAATTAAACATAAAAGCAATTACACATGTAGGCCTAATGTTCATTCGGGTTGTTATATTACAAAAACAGTGGTACGTGTGTAATGTTATATTATGGACATAAGTCGATAACATTTTGAGGTATATTTGTAACAATTCCAGAGACCTGTACTATTGTTACCCACAATTAAAGCTTTCTAATTTTTCGAAAAAAGTATGTCAAAGTTCTCTTAATGATGACCATACTAAATATATGTTATATAAATAGGATGAAAAAATTGAAGGACAATACGAAGAACTAGTGGCAGAAAATTTTCCTAATACCCCCCCCCCTCCTCCCGCAAAAGTAATCAACTTGATAAAATAAATATTCTGTTTTGTTTTCTTTAATTAGCAAAAAAAGTCATATTTAAACAATTGTTTAATGTTTAATTACAACAAAAATTGTTTGTTTATACGTGCTCTGGACATTTCTGAGGGATACTTAAAGGCGCAGCCTTTTTAAACAATTCCGTTTAGTATATTATCCATGTATATTTAACTTCATAGTTTTAATCACAGATATAAATAACACTAGATTGGAATTCACATGATTTTCGGCATGCGCAACAGCCGCTATTGCTATGTGTTTAACTTTCAAAGCCCGCCAGTCGAACTGACAAAGGCAATCTCACTTCAAAACTTCAAGCCATTTTCCATATAAACTAGACGTTTGAATAATTTTGTTATTTGGTCTTAATAAATTTGTCAAGCCAAGAGAATCTAAACCTGATTTAACTTAGAAATTAGTGAAAAAATCGTTCACAAAACACACATATCTGACCTATCATATGAAGATGCATTGGATTTTAGCCCAGAGGAAAATCTTAAGATTAAAATTTGTTATTTTTCCTCGGTGTTTATTACGTCACAGAAAAATATATATCTCAAATATTGTTGTCAATGAACAAGAGGTGGCGCATCAACGTTCTTAATTGAAGTGGATGGACATAATTAAGAAAATGTATGATTTTACTATAATAAAATTCATTCGGAGTTATTTGAGTATTTGTGGCAAAAATTGATATGAATGCTTGAAATATATATATATATATATTGCACATGAAGTCCAAAAGAAGTAACACAAATCATTACACCTATTTCATTAATAATGTATTACATATACTGTACTAGGTCTAAAAACAATAAATTTAGCAATGTTACTCCTTTAAAGACCCCCTTTTCCTCTTTTTACCGAATGGTCATGTTCTCCTCCCCTCCCTTGACCTAATACTAGATCTTTTTGTATCTAAGTCCCTTCTCTCTAAATTGTCTCTGCAAGGTCTTATAATTAAAGGCTTGAAGTGTAGGGGGTGGGAGGGGGGGACTGCTACAATCCTCCAATTTTTATTGTCGTTTAATTCATGTACATAATCAGTCTCTTATTGTAAAGAAAAAATATAAAGAATTCCTCCCGTAATATTATCATCTTGGTAAAACCCAGTTTAAAATATTTCACTAATATTATTATTCTGTAATCAGAACAAGATTCTCCTCATTAGAACAGTGGCACTCAAGATCACCCTGCCATTAAGACCAAATATCATTCCCCATAGTGGGATTCACCCATGGATGTCGACATAACAAAGTCAGGTTACATAATTATGCTAACATCTTATTCTACATGAAAATCATATATCACCAGTGTAGCACAAGCCATGTGCAGATTAAAGCGTGAAAATAATGTTTACATTTGATCTGATATATTTAATTGATGTTGACTTGAGAAAAATATGACAAGTTATGAAATTACATATTATATAAACTTTCATGTGCAACTAAAGTTGTAAGTTTTAAAGTCAACTTTATGGGTATATACTTTAATAATTAAAAACACATGCGATGCGTCATTTTTCATTACAATTTCATTACTCTGGCGTTATCTAATTTGCATACGATAATATATGTCTAATATTAGCTGTATGTACCTGTGCGTCTTTCTCTATCATGTACATACCTAAATTTTCATGACCAGTACATTTTCCTATCATGGACACTTCAATACAGTTCATAATGGTCCTTTTTCAACTTGTATAAATTTACAATTGTGCAATAATTTATAATAGCAAATCAAAATATTACAATATATATCCAATTTACTTTCAATACCATTTTTTTTATTCGGAAAACGATCATGTGGGAAATGTATGCCTCAGAGTATTTTTACAAGTTTATAAACATGAGTAAGTAATGAAATACTGTGGACACAGGCCTGACTTTTCCAACTGAGTACAGTACCCTACAATGGATTAGTTTCAAAAACAATGCAGGAATATATTTATCTACAACATAATCAAAAATGTTCACCATTAAATGTACAATTCATAATTATTTGCTAGCTAAATTCTGCTATTTTATGTGAGAATCATTTCTGCAGTACTTTGTTTTCATGTAAACATGCAAATGCACAATCGGCAATGTGCAAGACATTTATACATCTAATACACTTAACTGATATTTCACACATACATTACAAGTAAATGTAACAATATATATATATATATCAGTTACATTAATGTGTCGTTGTTTGTTTTTGTTCAGTTTTGTTTGTAATTAAGCACAAAGTTACACAATGGGCTATCTGTTCTCTGGCCACCGCAGGTATCGAAACCCGGATTCTAGTGTTGTAAGTCCGCAGACATACCGCTGTGCCACACAAAATATTTTGGGCCACTTGTACTACATACTGATTACTTACCATAATGACACTGACAGCTCAACGATTTTGGACAGTAAGGGGCCACCTGCAAAAATGTAATTTCTCATGCAATTCGGAGAATGAGTCTATTGACAGTATTAGGCCTATATTTGAATTATTTCCCGGATAAACCATAACGTCACTGATCAGACTATATTTGTCTTAAACCACACAAATTAATCCACATTTCCTCTCTCA